CAACTATAATTATTACAAAACTTTCCACAGTGTCTAGCAAACTATAGTCTTTCTTTGAATACCTTTTGATATCATTAGTACATTTATAGATATATATATGAAAGTTTCAAAAAGACTAAAAATATGAAAAGAGCCATAAGAACAAATTTCATTCTAGGCTAACAAGAAATAATTTGTGGGATTTTGCATAGCAATTTAACTTAATATTGTTTTTCTCACTATTTTTTCTTTACTCTCCCCAGCAGAATAGCTGTTTCCTTTGAACACCACAGAAAAAAAATGTTTCTGTACAGAAATGATTTTCTATTTTAGAATTATATTAACGATTCTTTGAGAAGATTTTTATGTTTTTAAAATCCTTTGGCCATCTTCTTCCAATACTTTTACTCTATCATCAAATACTGAAGCAATGACATACCTTAGAATAATAATGCTTTTCTGTACTGAACTGTGCAAGGTCTAGTTTTACAGAGAACTGTACCTCACCCCCTGAGAGGACAAGGCTGGTTTAGGCTCCCAGAAATCATTGCAAAAGAACCTGACTTAGTAAACTTACAGATAAATAACTAGTGGCTTGCTGTATAGTGCAATTCTCTTTACTATTCTATGAGTATTTGCATGTAAAATCAGATCTGTAAGTTATCTGTCAGACAAGCATGTGCATGTGTTAAAATTACTTAAATATTGATGGGTAGGAGTTGAATACCTATTTCTAGTCAAAGATGGAGAAGTGAAAAGATATATCTACAGCTCTCTGATCAGTGAATTAAAGAGGACAGTTTCCCTACTTCTGATTAGGAAATATGACTACAAACTATTGTGACTACTTTCTGTATATATCCATTAAAAAGGAGGTTTTTCTATTCACAAATTACAAAAAACCCCTTAGGTTTTAAACATCAACCCTTTATAGTGTATTGTTTATTCAAATAGTTCAAATAATTCCTCCACATCTCATTCATAGCAGAAAAAAGAAAAATACTTCAAAAGTTATTCAGCACCAGAGTACTGTATTACACATTTCCTCCCTCTTGACTTTTAACTGCACAGCAATTGCTCATGTTCTTTACTGTATATATTGCACTTCAGATATTAAAATAAAAAAAAAAATAATTAAGTATACTATAGTCCAGACATGATCAGAAGCGCATAAACTCAATCTTCCATTTTTTAAAAGAGATATTAAAATTTTGTCTTATATCTTTTGACTTCCAGAGTGAGATACCTATTATTTTTTATTAGTGAAAGCAGTAGGTTTCAAGTTTGCTGGGTAAGAAAATGCCCAGATGAATTTTATATGAAAAGATAAGGAAAGATGAATAAAATGTGAGATGTGCACTTGGAAGTTTTACCTTTTTAAGAGTAAAAATACTTTAATTTTTCTGTATTACAACATTACTTTTAAAAGCCTTGCGCCATCTCTCATTGAAGACAAGTTGAATTATCTTTATATAAGTGTGGAATTTTTAATTCAACAGATGATCTTTTAAAATTGATTTGCAATAATATTTACCAGCAGAACATCATGTTGCTAGTAATTAGTTTGAACTTTATGTTTTTTTCCTATGCTTTACAGAAATTATTCAAGTAATATAATTTTAAACAATTTCACTTTCTGTGTAAGTAAGTGACAGGGAGTAAGGCGTTACATGCGTACGTGCATGCATGGGTGGGTAAACATATTTCTGTGTGGATATACCTCACCTGGGCAATCCCATAAGATGCTGCAGCGTACTTGTAAACAAGGTCATTTACATACTTTTGGAAGACTTTATCCAGTTGATGCACAATGCCTTTTAACTTTACAATTTTCTTCATTTCATAAGATTTTTGAGCAATTGGGTACCTTAACTCCTTACAATTGCCCTCCTGTTTTTCTATTTAAATTCCATGTTTTCCAGCTGCTTAGAAGAGCCAGACTTCTTGCATAGAAACAGTGAAATGAAAAATAAAGATATGTAGTATGGTTTCCACGGAAAATATAGATTCCAAAGCTGGCATCCAAAATCTTGAGAGTCTCCCATGAAGACCTAGAGGAGCTTTTTGAAACCAGGCCTGTATATGTTCCTGCAACTCAGAGCAAATTCCACAAAACCAAGTCTGCATTTTGTTAGAGATTTGTCTAACTTCTGCTGCTACCTTAGATAACAGATCTAGACTTTTGATTGGCTATTTCACTATTATCCAATTCTATTGTTTAATTATTACAAAATCAGAGGATCAGAAAATGGCTGGTCTCAGAAGGTACTTCTGGAGGGTGACTTGTCCAACACCCTTTCCAAGCCGTTTGCCTAGGATCATGTCTAGACCGCTATTGAATATCTCCAAGGATAGAGATTACACAAACTCTTGGCTACCTTGCTAGTCCTGAGTCACCTCATACTGTAGAAATGTTTCCTGATATTCAGATGGATCCTCGTGGGATTCAATGTGTGCTCATTGCATCTTCTTCTGACACTGGATATCACCAAAAAGAGACTGACTTCATTCTCTTTGCACCCTTCCACTAGGTTTTTGTACACATTGGTGGGATCACCTCTGACCCTTCCCTTCTCCAGACTGACCGTCTAACTTTATCAGCCTTTCCTCACATGTCCTTCAAAAAATTCATGACACTTTGTTGGATCGTCTCTAGAAGCTCCACATTGCTTCCTATTTTGCCTTTGTTTTTTTCTCTCTACTTGTTACATCTTATTTTTCAGAGAAATGTTTTCCAATCTTGGGTGTTTTCCTCATGGGAACATGATTTTGATCGGTCTATTGGAAGATCTAGCCAGTCAGTGTTTATATAACATTGATATTTCGACCCAGCCAGACTGAGAATAACAATTTGATTGAATTGCATACAGAAGAGCTGTTAAAATCTAATCCACTTAATAGGAGACTATTTAAAAAGTAAATATTTACTAGTTAAATATGCTCAAACATGGGTGAATTTTAAGCATGCATGCTAATACCTTATTTACAGATTTTGTTTTTATTACAGTAGTATTGGTATAATAGCAATATTTAATGATTATCACCTCAGTTGTCATAGATTTTATTTCCTTTTCACTCTTGCAGAAATTTATTTTTTAAAACTGAGCATGTCTACCATATTTCTAGAATGTTAGTGGATTGTGCATTTCTGTATGTGTTGTTCCAACATTACTGTATTGTTAAATGAGAACATACTTTCAGAGTTGTTTTGTGGATCAAATTATATGGTCTAGATTGTATTTCAGCCTGGATTCTTGCTACCAGCATTGCTTTATATGAAAACTCTCATATGGGGAAAATTCTGGCAGGACGGTTTTTGCTTTCTTCCCTCCTATGTACTTTAATAATGTGTTGGAGTGTTTTCAGTAAATCAGAGTAATCCTTGCAAACTCAATAAAAGGAAGAAATGCAATGGTTACGTGAGATACCAGCATGGTAATTCGAACCATAAGTAAGAGCAGATTTCTTTTCAGTATCTCACTTTCAGAGCTAGATATCAGCTTCCCAAGTACATTAGCTGAAATATTTGATTAACTTTAGTGTTGTTGGTAATCTATCTACTGATCCATAAAAATACATAACAATTAATACTAATTGCCTACTCAGCTATATTTGGAGTCCTGTAAGTTCATGAGTACTCATTATTTATGTTGTCCAACTGTAAAAGAAATTTGGGAAGAACAGCAGCCTGGTTATAGAGGGGCAATTTAAAAAGTGATCTTACAATTCCACTTTTTGAAGTCAACACATTTTGACTGTTCAGATTAAAATGGCTGATCTTGTTTATACAGCACTAGACTACTTTGTTATATTATTTGGTTATGATTATTACTGTTCTTAATTGACCAAGGCTAGAGGGAAAGAACAGATTTTGTGGCTTGGTTGTGAGTTTAATTTTTTTTTTTCATTTGATACATCTCCTTCTCCGAAGCTTCTCTTCTTAATTTGTATGATTATTACTGTTCTTAATTGACTAAGGCTAGAGGGAAAGAACAGTTTTTGTGGTTTGGTTGTGAGTTTAATTTTTTTTTTCATTTGATACATCTCCTTCTTCCGAAGCTTCTCTTCTTAATTTCCTTTATTTTTTTATTTATAGTTCTTTCTACACTGACCCAGTTCTGAAACAAGTTTCATGCATAATTGAGAAAAACAGTGCACAACATTAATTTTAGGTAGGAAAGCAGTGCAAGTGATAAAAATTTCCCAGACAAGACCAGTCTATTCTAAGAAATCACTTCTTGAATTGCTTTAGACTCCCATATTTCTGGTTTTGGGCAGTATCTTCAACCTGAGCCAAATTTTGTGAAATGATGCTTTGTATATGGATGGGTGTCTATTGAAGCACAGGTCTAAAACCAAATTCATTTTATCTCTGTATTACGCCTGACAATAAAGGCACGATACAAGCTCTCTCAGATAGTAAATACAATCATGTTTATCTGATGGAAAATAGCACACATATTAGACTTATGACCTTGTTTGTACAATGACTGCTAATGGTAATTCTTATGGTATTTGTTTCCAGTAAGACCAAAAGGATGCTTCTGACAAAGAAAGTGTCTCCTTTTGGTCAGTAGGGATGGCAGAGTATTCATAAACACAGAATTAAGTTTGGATTTCTCTAGTTAAGTTGAGTGTTAATATCAAAATGCAAAATTGGCAAAAAGATTTTGAATGGATCTGTAAATATATCTTCTTTCACTACGCTGATGTATTAAAATGTCATGTGGTTAGCTGTGTGATGTTCTCACTTGCTAATGTATGCAGAAATATTTTTGTACTCTTCTGAAAGAGAGAGACAGAGAAAAGCAGGATTCTATAACAGAAAAAAATAACTTGGTATGATGGTATCAATAATTTCTGCATTAATAATTTTTGTGTTGCCATAGTTTTGAAACAGTTCCCATTTCCAATAAGTATATGTATAATTATGTAACTAAAGTGCATTATAAAATTTGAACATATTAGCATAACATCCTAGATATTGAACAAAACTAATTTTGTCTTTCTCTATTTTTAAGACCCAGATTTTAAGGACCTTGGTGTTTTGAAGCCATTGCCAGGTTGGTATGCTGTTTTGGGGGTTTTTTCTAACTTAGAGGCCTTTATACTCTGCTGTAGAAAACATTTTTGTTTGCTGTTCAGGTTTCATTTTTTCTGGTGTTTTGTTATTCAGTTTGTGAGTTTGAGATGGGAGGACCTGAAGGAATTGTGGAATCTGTACAAATTGTTAAAGAAGGAAAAGCTTCTGAAACTGAAGCAGTAGACTGTAAATGGTACATCCGAGCACCACCCCGATCCAAGGTCAGTCCTTCATCCACTTGCTGATTTGCCATTTAATTTAAGAAATTGCCTTTTCTAATATATTGTGCATTTCTTAGTACAGTCAGATCGTGTTCAATAACTTTACAGCTTGAACTATAAACTAATTTTTTCCTTCTGCTGTGGAAGGGTAATTTGTCATCTTTGCCAAAATAGCCACCTTTCTTCATAAATGATGATTTGGGCAGTGCTAATGTGTTTTTTGTGCTATAAGTAGTTTTCTTAAATTCATCTTTAATTTTGCTCATATTTTTAAATAATCAATGTGTGTTTTAAAGTGGGAAGTAATCTTATAATTTTAGTTTTCAATATATTTCAAATAACTAACATAGAACAACTAAGGAGGTGCTGCTGGCTCCCTGAGGTCATCATTGTTTCTCATCTGGGAACTGTGAAAATGGACCTAAAGTAAATTAATATTCCTCTCTATGAAGCCTTTAATTCCTTTGGTTTAGAGACACAGACAAAAAGAGTTCTCATTTCTTTTCCTCCACAGTTGGCAAGCCAGGGCTTTGTAGGAAACATAAGAGAGCTACAATGAATTAAAAAATACTTTTCTTGGATTGCCCTTGATTTTATCTCTTGTCTCTTAACTTCTCAGTTATGGCATGCATTAATTGTTGCTGGCTACACTACCACTTCTCCCCTCTTTGCAACAGGAACAACTTCATGCCTCCCACCTACTTGCATTCACTGTGCTAAAGACACCCCACTGCACACTTTTTCTAGCTGTCTTTTATTGGACAGGAAAGGTTTTAGAAAGTAGAATTGCACTTTTCTCTGCTGTCTTTAAACTGATAAGGGCTTTTTTGTATAACCTCAGTGAGGAGACTGTACTGAATATGTCATTGTTTCATCATCAGAATGACACATGGATGAATGCTGAAGGGTTCTCTTCAGGAAAGGTTTTCAGAAGAGAAAAAAATCATTAGTATCAGCATTTTTCTATTGGGAAAGTATAGGAAAAGAATTGGCTCATAAAGACTACAGATAAATGATTTCCAGAATATACTTTCATCTTATAACTTTCGGTTTTTTTAAACTTTCGGATAAAATTAATATTGATAGACGTTTTCAATTAAGTAGATGAGCTTCCCATTTCGCCACACTAAGTAGTGATATGAAATGATTGGACTGATGAATGATTATTCAGTGTGTTATAGGCAGTTTATATTCGTTCAGCGCAAATCTCAGTATCGATACAAACTTCAGGAAGAACAGATGGAAGGCAGCTCTGCCGATAAGGTTTTTGGGATTCTGGTGGACAAGAGGCCGAACATGCCCCAGAAATGTACACATCCAGCCCAAAAACCCAATTGTGTCTTGGGTTGCATCAAAAGCAGTGTGGGCAGCAGGGTGAGGGAGGAAATTCTGCCCCTCTGCTCTGCTCTGGTGAGACACTACCTGTATGATTGTATCCAGCTCTGGGATCCTCAGCATAGAAAAGACATTGACCACTTGGAGCAGGTCCAGAAGAGAGCCACAAAAATAGTGAGAGGAATGGAGAACCTCACCAGTGAGGAAAGGCTAAGACATGAAAGTTTGTTCCATCCAGAGAAGAGAAGACTCTAGGGAGACCTTATCGCAGCCTTCCAGTACTAAGGGGAGCCTGTAAGGAATGAGAAGACTCTGGGGAGACCTTATAGCAGCCTTCCAGTACTAAGGGGAGCCTGTAAGGAAAATGGGGACAAGTATTTTAACAGTAGTGGTAAGACAAGGTGTTTTAACCTAGAAGAGGGGAGATTTGGACTAGACATGAGGAAGATATTTTTACAATGAGGGTTGTGAAATGCAGGATCATGTTGCTCAGAGAGTTGGTCGATGACCATCCCTGGAAACATTCAAGGCCAGGTTGGATGGGGCTCTGAGTAACTGGATTTAGTTGAAAACATCCTTGCTTATGGTAGGGATATCGGACCGGTTGACCTTTACATGCCCCCTCAAATTTGAATTATTCTATGATGTATTTAGGTATTAGTAAAAAGAAAACAGACAAACACAGAATTGTTATTAGAATCAGCAGAATTAATAAGTAAATAGTATTTCCCTGTAAACTAAATTCAAGTTTATGGTTGATCAAAACAGACAAACACAGAATTGTTATTGGAATCAGCACAATTAATTAAGTAAATAGTATTTCCCTGTAAACTAAATTCAAGTTTATGGTTGATCATATAATGCAATTGTGATATCCTTACTTGACCTGACTTTGAAGTTCTATATGATTCAAAGCCCTGCTAAAAATCACGACTTTACCTTCCTGTAGTATTTATCCTTACCTCAGTTCTGATGTAAAACTCCAAACTAGGTATTTATGTAACTGAAGATACATTGTGTATCAGAAGAATACTAAACTATCACTCTTAGTAGAGGGCTAAAATTTAAAGTTCATTAATACTTCATAAACTTCCATATCTGCATTTACTTGTGTTACATTCCAAGAAGCTTATCCTAGCTGAACGGTACCTGGAATGGAGAGCAACAACAAAGTTTTAGAAAAATGAAGTAGTACTGAATGTTATTTAATGATATCTAGAAAACTGTGTGAAGGAGAGTAATACAATACAATAACGGGCTCTTGCAAGGAAGAAGGAATGCTGTGATGCCCATGTCTGTAAGATAACTCAGGGTCCCACTCTCTGGAAGAAAGCTTCAGGTTAAATATGAAGGAAGAAAATTCAAACATTAGGGAGAGCGATTGGTTCAGCTGGCATTGTTAGTGGTCTGAAAGTGCAGGTTAGATAACAACCTGTGAAAAAATGAGAGAAACATTAATAATCCTACATTTAGGCTGGAGGGAGAGGGCTGGACTGGGTCATTTCTTGATGGATCATGCTGTTCCCATCTTACAGAATTACCTGTGTGGAGAGATTGAGCAATATAAAAATATATAAATCAGTGTTTCCTAATGTAGAGTTGAAAGGTTTCACAGCAAGCTGGGAAAAGAAAAAGATTTTTCAAAGCTAGATCCATCTTTGAGGGGGTAAGACCAATTTAGCATTTGAACTTAGTGTGGTTTTCCAAACTAATGTATTTATGCACACACAGACAAGTATGCACATGCATAGATGCACACACATACAGTTATGGTATCATCATACTAAGACAAGCTGAAAAATATACAGATATTAAGGAGGGAGGAAACTGAATAAATTATTAAGAACTTTGTATGAAGTAAGGTTTCTGATAGGATTGTTTATGGGCCTGATTCAATTGAACTGGAATCTACTATCTATTTTTTACAGTCAGCTTCCTTTGTCCCTATCTAACCTTGAATAAATGACATATTCAGTACAGTTATTTAATGACATCATTTTAATTTATGTCAGTTTGCACCTATGAAAACAAGCTCTCCTGCTAAGAACAGTGAGAACTCCACAGAAATTTTTAAATCCACATGTTCCTGTACCCTGGGCTGCACAGTTTGTTACTGGGAATTATGCCTAAAAGGCAAGAGTTTCTCAGAGAGAATTTGTGTTGGATTTTCTCATCTTTAGTTTCTTAATTAAACTGTGCCAGAATGTGAGTTGCTGCATTTCAATTTGGCGTAAGCTCATCCAGTCTAAACTGTCTGCAGAAGCAAGATGCAAGTCCTTCCCTTGGTTTCCAATTCCAAATTCCAGCCAAGTCTGAGCTCAATATATGAGCAATGAGATCAGCCAGGAAGTGTGTACTTGAGGTCTCTAAGCTTGAGCTTCAAACTGACAGTCTAGGTCTAATGCTTCTGTCCTCAGTGTTCTGGAATGGGACAGAGAGCACAAAATTTGTTGCACACTCTTAAAATAGAGCCATCATTAATTGCCTTGTATCATACACACCCACACACACACACCCAGATGCAGACACACACACACAGAAAAATAAATCTGAAATGCATGCAGATTCCAAACATTCTCTAAGTGCAGAAGGCAGTCTGATCACAACTTATATGCAGAGCTAGAGTCTTATATAGTGAAAACACACACACACCCCGATGCAGACACACACACAGAGAATAAATCTGAAATGCATGCAGATTCAAAACATTCTCTAAGTGCAGAAGGCAGTCTGATCACAACTTATATGCAGAGCTAGAGTCTTATATAGTGAAAGTGACTAGTTGTTAAGTCTGTGTTTCTTGTAATCATTCAAAGTCAGTTCCTGCTGAGTAAGATAGCTGTGAGTTTTGAGTAGAGTAACCCTGGGGTTCTGCACTTCATATAGAATGTGACCGCAATTAGTATTCAGAGCAAGAATGGAAAATTAAGAAGAGAGCTGCTGACTGGAAGTGCTAACCCACTCAGAACAATAAAGTTCTGGAGGGATTTCCTGATCTGAAAATTCTTCAGTGTAGAGCAAAGCCCAGTGAAGGAAGTGTATAAGCTTATTGTAGAGTGAATTGAAAAATTTCTGGGACATCATTCGCTGCAAGCAGTGAATACACAAAGATTTTGTATTTAGGAGCAAAAAATAAGAAAATTAATAGAATTATAGTTTTTATACTTTCTGTTAAGGGTGAAGCATTGGGGGATAATATCAACAAGTGTTTTTCTATGTTGGATGAGTCAGCATAGTTTGACAAAACTCCCAGGAAGATAGAAACATGTTTGTGCTCTCTTTAGTGGGTAACTGTCCCAGCAAGGTACCTTTGTGTCATGTTTGTTCTTTGAGAGGCTCTGTAGAAAAAATAACACAGCAGAACTTGATAGTAAGAACAATAAAATATTTACAAATATGATATTCTTATGTTGTGAAAAATCTCAGTAAGCAGTGCTATTTAAAACACCATTTACTGGGCACATCAGAAAACACTCTGGGCGCCTCAGAAAACCACATCAAAACAGGAATTAATTTGAATGTAGTCTAGTGGAAATAATCTATTCTGGAGGAAAAAGCAATAAGTACATTTAAGCTGAAGAAGTAGTGGGTGTAGCCTCTTTATTTGCACCATGAGAAATAAAATGAAGTTATAAGCTAGTTAGGCAAAATGATGTCTAATTCTC